TGTAAATGATGCAGTTGCCTGAATTAACTTCCCCAGTTATGATGAACTTGTATGTGTAAATGCATGAAGAATGTCAATTTAAAGATGAAATGTCACAGTGTCTTGTTGCATGAAAAATAAAAGACCCAGAGACAGATATTGGGGTTCAAGCTGAAGATCAGAACAACAAAGCAGCCACTCACTAGCTCTTACCTCTACCTCAGACTGAAAGGCGATCTTGGCTCCACCAAACCTCAGACTGCAATCCCAGTCTGCTATGCTCTCCTCAACGTTGTTGCAGAATCCTAACTACTGAAGACCCTGCTCCTTTTATACCTCTCTAGTGCTGGGGTTAAAGGCGTGAGCTCTGTTACTCTTTTAGACTGATTCAATATTGCATAGTTCTGGGTGGCCTTGAACTCATAGACATCCATCTGCCTTTGTCTCCTGAGTCCTGGGATTAAAGGTGCGTGCCACCACTGCCTGATATCTATGGCTTGAGGCTGACTCTGCTTTCTGAATCCTCAGGCAAGTTTTAGTAAATCATAAATAATATATCACCACAGTGTCTGTCGCTTATTTTCAAGTGGTTCAAAGTACTTCAAAAAGATAAATGTGGCAAAACGCTGAAAAGTCAAATCTATTTATTTAGGTGCAGTGGTACATGTCCGTAAACTCAGCACTTCGGTGTGCGGAGGCGGGAGGATCACTAAGGTCAAGGCCTGCCAGCCTACATGTTAAGTTCCAAGCTATCCACACCTATATAGTGAAACCTTGTCTCAAAAAATATTAATTAACTAGTTATTTAGTTACAATAGAACACAATACAAAAAAATGCAAAAAAGAAGAAGAAGAAGAAAACACCAAGACCAAACAATGAACTTCTGTCATTAAGAAGTAGTTTACTAAATGACTGCCTAATTTAGTTGGAGATGACTGGATGGGGCTCCCAGGAAGCTGTTCAAAACGTACAAAATTGAGGGAAATTATCCCTTTCTCTTTCTGCCTTTTATCCTTCCTCCCCCCTCTTCTCAGAAGGCAGACTCTGGTCAGAATTGGACTGAGGTGGCCACTGTGCAGCCAAGAGGAACACTGCAGCATCCCAGGCCTGACAGTACAGAGCTGCACAGCCACCACTAGCCCATAAGAAAAACGGCCTCATGACAGGCCCTGGGCACTGGAAGACGTGGCCATTTAGCTGGGTGTCTCTGTGTTTTTATGGTTCCATCAGGCCCACAGAAACACCTAACAGCCTCAGGAGTTGGGTGTTAACACTTAACAGCATTTATGTACTAGCAACTTATTAGCAGCTCTAAAAAGTAACAGTCATAAATTAAAAGAAAAATAGCATACCTGTTTGATTCAACTGGCATCATTACAGGAGGGATACATGCTTCAATAGTATTCCCTAACCACTTCACAAACCTTAGAATAAGGCAGCTCTCACCATGCTCATTGCCTGATCCCATCTACTTGCTACCTAAAATAGCCCAGTGTGGTGACTCACACCTGTAATCTCAGCACTAGAAGGCAGAGACAAGAGGTAATTGCCTCACATTCAAGGCTAGCCTGAGCTATAAAGTGAGTGCCAGGTCAGTTTTTGAGACTCACTCAAAGAAAATCCCAAATGTTAAATACTCAAATAACTTTAAAAATTAAAAAGTAAGCTACCCACCAAACTCCAAAAGTGTCTCACCTCAAACCAAATCTCTGAACTAACTGATTACTAGCTTCTCAATCCTGTTGCCCAAGCTCTTAGCCACCACCACCATCTCTATAAACTTGATCATTCCAAGTCCTTATACAAGAGGGCTCATAAAAGGCATATGCTTTTGAAGCTGATATATTTGTGTTAAAGAATGTGCCAGAATTTCCTTCTTACGGAGTATACCTGGATCACCACATTACGCCTATACATTCACCTTGTGATGGACGCTTGCTTATCTACCTTCTGGCTATGGCGAGAATGTTTTTGGAACAGGAAGAAAAAGTGTTTGCTTGCCCTGAGACTGTAGCTTCTCAAAGACCACCAAAAGGAAGGTAATGAAATTGACTGTGGAAAGTGTCTCCCTCTGCTAGCAAGGTTACCTGGTGGGCAAAGAATGCTGTGTATCTGTCTCTCTGATTCCCTCAAAATTTAAAGTGTCCTAGGATGCTTTAAGTTCACTGTGGTACCCCAGTGACCTCAGGGTACCATTTGAAATCCAGACCATAAGATGCTGAGGCCACTGTTATCTGTGTTCCTGGGCTAGTGGAATATAAGTCTTAATCAAGAGAAACAGGGTCATCAAATCTACAGTTCCCATCAGCATTCCTCTGTAACATCCCAAGAACTTAAATTCTCTGGATACAGTCCCAAGAGCTAGTACAGTCACTCCAGAAACTCAGAAAAGACTCTTCTACACACCATCCTAAAACAATGTGGCCTTACTATGGTTAACTTTGTGTGACTCTAGCTAAACTAGAAAGTGCTCAAATGTTTGGTGAGATTATTCTTGGTGTTCTTGTTGGGGTGTTTCTGGAGAGATTAACTTTACATCAGTGGACTAAGGAAGGGGCTTGCCCTCCTTGGTGATGAGAGACTACATCCAATGACCATCCCAAGATCTAAACAGAACAAAAGGTTGGCCCTTTCTCTACTTGATGGGCAACCCTTTCCTGCCTGGTTGCTTTTGGACTAGAGCATTGGTTTCTTCTTCTTGCCTTTGGACTCACACTGAAATACTGGCTCTTCCTGAGTATGGAGCCTGCTGGCCTTTGGACATGAACTCTACCATTGACTCTTCTAGTTCTCAGGCCCTCAGCTCTGACTGGAATTAAATCACCCCCTCTCCTGGGCTACCTTATTAGCAAATTCCTTATAAGAAGACTATTTCTATACATTCTCTCTATCTCTGTTTCTCTCTCTGTCTCTCTGTCTCTCTGTCTCTCTCTCTCTCTCTCTCTCTCTCTCTCTCTCACATATACATTCTCAAGCTTCTTTCTTGGAGCTTCCACTGGTATTCTTTGAGTTACATACTGTCCCAAGGTCAAAGCAGTCTCACACATACCTACTTCTTGGTGAGTTACTCATGACTCTTCATATGTTGCATCAGCTCTTCTAAAACTCTACACCTCCAAGCCATGTGGAACCAGGCAGTAATCAGAACCTCCCCACCCTATCATCCCTCCAGGCTAGGGCTGTGTTTTTTCTCCCCATCCAAAACAAATGCTAGAAAGCTCCCTCATGTGCATACATGCCATGCCAGTTCATGCATGAACACACTCACTCTCTCTCATACACACATCTGAGTACAGTCACGAGGGTAGCACCTCACTTTCCAAATGTGTGCTTAGATATCCTACTGTCCTTCTAGATCCACCGATCCATGAAGCCCTCTCAAAGGTTGCCAGATGGAGCTGGGGAGATGGCTCAGTTTGTAAAGCGCTTGCTATGCAAACATGGGGACTTGAGTTTGGATTCCCTCCAAAACCCATCAGAGACATTTGATAGGAAGAAACAGCACTCAATCCCATGAGCACTGCAGTCTAACAGTGATAGACTAATCTGGAAAGGGCCCCCAGGAAAGCTTTACCTGAACTTAAATACTAGTACCTCTAGGAGTGCAAACAATTCCAAACAGAAACTATACTGAAGATGAATAACAAAAAAAGATAATAAGAAAATATAAGAGAAATACAAAAGCTACATGTATGTTTACTGTTGTGGTTTTTAAACAATTGTTGTTTTTATTGTTTTGTTTTCTCTTTTTCTTTTTTTCTTTTTTCTTTTTGGATTTTTTTTTGAGTCAGGATTTCCCTGTGTAGCTTTGTAGAACAGGCTGGCCTCAAACTCACAGAGATTCGCCTACCTCTGCCTCCCATGTGCGAGGATTAAAGGTGTGTGCCACCACTGCCCAGCTTGCTGTGTTTTGTTTTTTAATCTCTTCATTTATGCCAAATACTCCATGCAGCAAACTATACAGACACCAAGGCAAACAAGTCTTTGGCTACATGTCTATTATAAATCATTATTCACTTTGATTAGCTGGGTAAGCAGCTGTTCAGAAGCCTGCCAGTTACTCTACTGAGCAGGACAAGAACTTTTAATACAAACATTTAATATTAAATGATAAAGTCCTTAAGGAATATACCCAGTGCTATTTTACAAAAAAGCTGTAACCATGTAGGATACAAGCTCTTTTTATTCCTAGCCTAAACATGCATGCCATCTGCAACATACATTCATTAAGTCCACACCAGTTTCTAGAGAAAGTGTCATTCAGATACATTATCAGTCCTCAACAACCAATCTTTAATTTGAAATATATGGTAACCCAATCACTACTGAGTCAAACATGCATTCTGTGTTTCAAATTAACCAAGTTTTCTAGTCCCTCACAAAATTTAAATACTTGTTTATCATTCTTGTTGGGGACAGGGCTCACTGGTAGAGCAGTTACCTATCTTGTCATTGTAAGGCCATGGTTTCAATCCCCAGTATGAGGGGGAGTGGGTTATGTATTATTCCAGCTTGATTCCCTCTGTTGATTTCACTCTTCATTTTCTTATTTACGTCCACTTACTCCTCACTTTACTGGTTATTACAATGTCTCCGTTTTAATCCTTTCCTTTTCTCCTAGACTTCTAACACCAGCACCGGTTCTGGGTTAGCCCTGTCCTCCATAGCCTGTAGAACCCATCCCGCAGCCCCATAAGCCAGGCCAGAGCAATGCATGCAGAAGACAGGCTGCATCACCTTGCTCCTGCCCTCTTGCCATCGCCTTCCTCGCTATTTCCCTTTTAAGCTGAACTTTCTGCTTGACCTCCCGCTCTGCTTCACATTCCCAGTGCCACACACTGTACCTAGCGTTTATACACACATAACAAGGGCACACCGAACCCCTTACCAAGCATGAGACCGTGAACTTGGACTCTGGCGCTGAATTACATATATTTTCTATAGAACTCTCTGGCGGGGAACAGACATGGGGGAGATAAAACATTCCCATTTTTAAAGGATTCCAAGATGATGACCCTACCTTTCTCGGGATCTGAAGAAAAGTGGTCTCCAAATTCTTGCTGTTTGTGTTTAGAGTAACTGATGCTGCCATGCCACCAGTCTGAGTGGCCTGAAATCGAGGCTTCCCATTGGTGAGTAACTGTCTCCTAGGGCTCAGGGCAGGCAGATGGAGGGGGCTCATGGCCATGTTGCTCTGAGGAGCCACCCTTCTCCAGAGGACATCTTCAGGTGGAGGCTGTTAGCGAGACTTCCAATAGTGGGGCTGGGTGTGCTGGCACAGGATGAGGGGCCCGGAGTGCCTGAGTGGGCTCTGATGGGAGGAATATGTTGACCACTGAGCAACCCAGGCCCCTGTGGGGTTCTTGATGTTCGATGGAGACTCATGCCACATGACCTTCCATTCATTCTGAAAGCCCTGAGGCCAAGAAGGTCAATATCCAACAGCACTACTGATTCACTCAGGGCAAGTCAAGTAACTTATCCATGGGACAGGTGATAAGTCTGTTTAAAACAAAACCAAATACAGGTATTGGGAACGGTGAACTTGTGGGAACACCAGACCAACTGAAAAAAAGATACAGCAATTTTTTCAACTCGTATAGCATATATACCAGGGCAAAACAGAAACACAGTTGACAAGTTCTCCTCCTACACAGAACAAGATCATAAAAAACATAACTCTTCAGCAAGGACTCTACTTCTGTATTCATGGGAGGCATGGATTATATGGGTCACTGCATTCTTCTGTTGGCTATTGTGTCCTTCCCAATGTGGTGCTCTCGGCAGCTACCACCAGTCCACTGGAGACCGCTTACTAGGGGAACTTACTCTATTCCCAGAGGACTTGTCCACACACTTCATTTTCCCTGTAATGTGTATTTGGAAACAAAGAACACTGGCCTTTAGGAGCTGTGAGACTAAACTTCTGAAGTTCCCAGTCAACAAATATAAAGCCAGCATGATGTTCATTCTAAGATGAATATTTCATAGTGCCCAGATTTGCAGATCAGAACTCTAGACATGGGAATTTAGCTTTCATAGATCCTTATATTTAAATACTAACAGCAGCATCGAGACCTGAGATCCATGTTGATCCTTTGTTATGGAGCAAGAAAAGCATATGGGGGGGGGCATGTGTGAAGGGAGAAAACTATAAACAATACCTCCTGGATAGGAGCTCTTAAATAAATGTGGGGTGCCAGTGTGTTCCCAGAAAACCTACTATATATACCATTGCGTTATAGAGCCTCTGATGAGATCAGGAAAAAAAAGTACAAATGTGTCCACAGAGTGCCCCTCTACTTGTATGTGATGACATCAACACCCCCTAGGTCTAAATCACAAAGGAAGTCTCCCCCAAGGCCCAACAACTCACTCTCCAGAGTAGATCCAAGGAGATGACCAAGTGACACTGTGTTACCTCTACTGAATATGGCTGCAACAGCCACAATGTATCTTTTATGGAGACAAGACAGTCATAGGAAGCAGCCTCGGCTGAACAAACACAGGAAATGAAGACCAAGAACAAGTCAATAATATCCATATGTCCTCAATAGGGTAAGTCTTGGGACTTTCTTCCCTGTATGATCCACGTGAGGTCTTGAACAAGTATTTTCAACTCAACTCCAAAAGATACAAAAGAAATGATTGCACAAGTCTTCATGGAAAGGCTACTCAAGGATATTGTTTTCTTTCATCATTTTAGGAGATAAAAAATACTTAAATGTTTACTGTGCTTTCCACAAAATTTACCACTCGGGGCTATGGTGAGGCACTTTGTATACTGTAGTTCAAATGTAAAAATCGGAGTATAGTCTTTATCACTCTGCTTTGCCAAGAATTGAATCCTTTGATGACATTTAGCTTTGCCAATCCAAAGAGACACTCAACAACTCCCTCTGTCATACAACTACCACTAGTACTGCCCCTGCCGCTGTAGGTCCCATGGAAAGACGAGCCCAAGTTATTCAAACCTGCATGACTCAATGACTATGAAACAGTAAGAATAGAGCTTGCTATCAAACTGGTCCTGAGTCTGCTCTTCGACTATGGGAAACTCCCCACACATTGTCTCTTGTGAGCAGATCTGCTGTGTGCATGTGGAGCTACACTGTACTGCCAACCACTACCTTCACCCACTGACTGGCTGATCTTGAGCAAGAGTCAAAAGTCACTATCCATTCTCCACGCATTGATAAAATGGTGGTTTCTGAGAACTCTGAACTTGCAGAGTAAGGATTTATTCAGTAGCTACCAAAAAAGGGAAAAAGGCAAATGAATATGCCATACTGGCAAATTTTTGAAAATGAAGAACGGTCCAAAATGACTGGAGTCAGTTAAACCAGGTCCAGGTGGCAAGTGTCTTCAGATTTGTTGACTGTGATCATTTGTGGTTTGTTTTACTTTTTGAAAGAGTAATTCTTGCACCAGCATCATATACAAGTAGTTCTCATCAAAATCTGGATCAGAAACACATCACTAAGTATTCCAGCATTAGGCTTGGTCATTAAGACCTGCAAGTAGGGAGGCTGGGCAGTGGTGGCGCACTTTAATCCCTGCACTCGGGAGGCAGAGGCAGGCGGATCTCTGGGAGTTCGAGGTCAGCCTGGTCTACAGAGCAGCAAGTTCCAGGACAGGCTCCTAAGCTACAGATAAACCCAGTCTCAAAAAAAAAAAAGGACCTGCAAGAAGGAAAAGTGAGGAACCAAGAATAACGCATAATGCACTCATACCATTATGTTGTACATGAATGGAAAAGGTAAAGAGAAAGGAAAGAAGGTAGAAACAACATGGAAAATATGAGATGAAAAGAAAGAAACTCTACAGGGAAACATGCCTAAAATTAAAGGTTTCACACGAATTATGTCAACAAATCTTTTGAGCATTAGATACTAGTACCTAGAAATCAATTTAGTTTACTCACAGTGTAATAGTTTATATACTTCTGAGCTAAGCCATTGATCACAATATCATCTCAAGCCCACTGAGTAATAAAGTAGGATTAAACCACTCAACTTTAGGAAAGACACATGTCCAATTGAGAAGCCCTGAAGAAGCCAAGGAGTTGAGACTACATCACAAGCTCCCTGGACAGAGTTCTCCATCCATAGAAGTCTGGGAAATATGAATACCATCACTAGGGACTCTCTTGACATTGTTTTTCCTAAGGAGTATCATTTATTATTTTTAAAGCACTCGTGTACTATAATAACAAATTAATATGTAGAATCTACTTCTCTGTCAATTAAAGCTGGAGGGACTGTATAAACTTAGGAGTAAAAACAGTGGCATTCTTTACCAACCCAACTGAAGCAATGGCGGGAGGGCCAGCCTCCCCTAACACCATGGACAAAGACAGCACTAGCCAAGAACAACCAAATGCAGCACTAAATTTATATTCTGCTAAGAAATAAAAACTACAGCTACCTGTATCCTAAACTTAATGAGGAAAATTTCATTGAGAGACCCTCCTTTTAACAAAGATGTATGTACTTATATTTCATATGTGTTAGTGTTTTATTTGCACCATGTGCCTGACTGGTACCCACAGATTCCAAAGGAAGATTCAGATCCCCTGAAACTGGAGGTACAGGCAGTTGTGAGCTGCCATGTGGCTGCAAGGGCAGCTAATGCCTCTAACCACTGAGGAATCTCTCCAGCCTCCTCTTTTCATTTAAAAACTTCCACAAGCTTCTCCTATCTTATGCCCACTCCACTAAAGACAACCAATGAAAAAGACAAAGAATTTCTAAAGGAAAAGACAAAGAGCATCCAGAAATACAAATTTCAGGTTTTTCATGTGACATTTTGCCATATTTAGATTTTTATACCCCATGGAGTCTCACAGTGAAAATGTTCACTCTACTAATGAGTTACTAAATCTTTCCTTTTGACCACGTTCAAACTCTTAAAACGCACTCCCATAATTCAGGTCAGAGAGGAAATGACTTAACCCCTAAAGAAACTAAGGTAGAAAACCATTTAATAATGCCACTCATTTTCTGGAAAAGAATTAACTTTGATCAAAGTATAAAATCATGACTCCACCTTCTTCCCAGGGCTCCAGGCCTGATCCTTGTGAATTAAGAGAGATTAAACAAATGCAAGCAATGTTAACTCATCTAGTCAAGAAAATTCCAGAAACAAGTTCCATAATGCCTATTTACGGCCAAAGGCTTTCTTAGTAAATACCATTAATAGACTCATCTCGAGTCATAATTCATCTGATGAGCCAGTTAATTATTAATTTTCATACATCATTTCATTTCCTTAGGCTACATTTAGCCTTTGTTATATTTTCCATTCCTTATGCTGAGAGCATTTCTTACCCTGCACAAAAAAAATCTAATGAAGCACAAATAATGGTCAGGAAGCAAACTGACCCTGAATATGATCATATTTACATATATGCATATAAGCAAATGTGTACATTGTACATGCATTTGGTATTTGTGTGTGTGTATGTGTGCAAGCCATCTATGATATGTTACTCTTTTAATTGTCCCCTTTTGAGTTAATGATTGTATAATTTCATTAAGCTCTGTCATTTCAACTTCACTGCCTTCATCATTTAATAGGACCATGCTATTCTCCTGGGCTTCTCCTGTTATGGCTTTTTGTAGCCAGAAGAATATACAAACGAAAACGTATTGATGGCCAACGTAAGGTGTTCTCATGCACGGCTGCAGTGTGAAGCAGATTTGGCAATTTAATCAAGGACAGATAGAGCTGAGTGTTCTTATACTCCAAGAGTTCATTTTAATAAGCAGAATGTACCTTGTTCTAACACAGGTGACTGACTCCTCAGTAAAGACTGTATAAACAAAAACCAATCATGTAAGTCATTTTATTGGCAACAATATAAACACAGCTATATTAGATGTCACCAATAAATCAGAGTGATTCTTGTCTGCAATTTCAACAAGAGGAAAGTGCAAACATGAGCCCATGAAGCAGAAGGATATTATGGAGGAAATATATCGGATGTGGACAGTATCATTTCTGTAGACCAAAACTGCAAGGTCCTCTATATAGTGGTAAATGGAGCCACAGCAGGACGTAGTTGAATGTTTGTGTGGGTTCCTAACTGTATGCACTAAAACCAACAAAGCCACAGAAGTTTCACAAAAAGAAACTCATATTTGAGCTGTAGAGAAGAAACTTCAAGAAGTGTAGTGATCTTTTCACTCAAGTCTTCTCAGGGCCTGATAAAGATGGTAAGAACATTACCACATTTATTATGAACATTAGTTTTACTGACGTTAAACAACACACTCAGTGGTAAGATGAAATCAGAGACCTCGTTTTACCACTAATTAATAAGACAACTGAGTGTTCCCAGCAGGTATTTAACCAAGTTTTTCAGAGAGCACTTAGAAAAGACATGGTAGCCTGAAACAGAACCCACGACTTTGCTGTTATCTGTGGATCCAAACTCTAAGCTAACTCATGACCAACATATTGTAACTACACTAAATTTTATACTTACAAATTTTCTCTAAAGTGAAGATAATTTTTCTTAAGCATATGGA